TGGATGGATGGATGGATGGATGGATGGATGGATGGATGGATGGATGGCAGCGGTGTTACTTCGCCTCCTGGCGCGGAGCTGCGCCCTACGGGGACCGCGTACGGAGCATCGCCGCGGCCGTGCGGTGCCCCCCGGGCCGGGGCCGCGGGAGCGGGGAGAGCCGCGAGGGCTCGCGGTCGCGTGCAGCGTTCGGGACGGCGGTGTCGGTGAGGCGCAGCCCCGCACCGGTGGGCTTCGAGGCGCTGCGTTGCGCTGCGAGGAAATTTCCCAGGGAAAGAGCGGAGAAACGCAGCGTTCTGCATAGGGGCTCTGTGCTGGATTTACTCATTCCTTTCTCGAGGAGAAAAAAAAAAAAAAGCAAGCAAGCAAGCAAAAACTTTGGGAGCGAGCCGCCAACTTTTTTCCAAGCCGCTCTGCTCGGTGACATTCTTCGCCCGCTTTCTTCCTGCTCCGTGGAGACCGCCGTGCGCCGGGGCCGGGCGCGCTCCGGCCGTGGGCTGCGGCACAGCGGAGCCTCCGCCGAGGGTGGCCCCGAACCCCCGGGGATACGGGGAGCTGGAAACGGAGCTCGGAACTTTTAATTGAACGGAGCTTCCCCTGCGCGGTCCCTCCCGGGTAAACGAAGGTTTCGAAACTCGGCTGAAGAAGTCGCAGTCACAATGGAGTGTTTCACGTTTGCTCCTCGTGTTACAGGGCGGGGAGGGCCGTCACTCGGGGGCCCGATGTAAAGTGCACGGAGGAAGAAAAGGGCTTTGACACGGCCGCTCATTGCCTCCTGATTTACAGCCCCGTGCCGCTGCGCTCCCGGCTCCGGCGGCCGCAGCCCGGGGGGAGCCGCGTGCCGGGCAGCGCGGCCGCGTCTCCGGGTAACCGGGGAACGGAGGGGTCCTCTGGGACCGGGATCGGGGAGGGGGGGAGGTACGCTGCCGGCCGGGGAATCTTGCAGCTCCCCCCGACCCCTCCCGACGGAGAAACTCCGGGGATGCCCGGAAAGGAGGGAGGGAGGGAAGGATGGAGGGGCTGCTGCGGGCTCCTCCCGGCAGGTGAGCGCGGAGGGGCCCGGCCCTCCCCGCCGCCCCTCACCCGGGAGAGCCCCGTTGGCCGCTGACCGAGCCTTCTTCCCCCGCCGCAGCGCCCCCCGGGTCGGAAGCGCGCCCCCCGCCGCGGCCATCCCCCGCTGCCGCCTCCGCGGAGAGCTCCCAGCCGGCGCCGACCCCGCCGCCGCCCGCCGCCGCCCGCCCCGCCAGCCCCACCATTCAGCGCGCAAGGTACCCGCCAGGTGAGCCGGGGGGGAGAGGGGACGGAGGTGCGAGGCCGCCCCGAGCTACGGGGGGCGGGCGGGGAACGGGTGGGACCTGCGGAGCTTCGCGGGGTGGCGGGATGGGAAAGCAGCGGTCGTGGCGGCGAGAGCTCCAGCCCCGATCTCCCGCTCGGCTGCTCGGTGGCACGGCACGTACCGCGCGTTGCGGCGTGGGGGCTTTTAGTGATAGCGTCGGGGAAGGAGGGACAGCCGCGAGGTCGTTTGTGTTGGTGCCCCGAGAGGAAGGGTTGGGTTGGGGTCAGCGAGGCGGAGGCGCTGGCGGCAGCGGGGAAGGAGGAGCCGCGTGGCCGCAGCAGACCTTTGTGTAGGGTCTGTTTTGCTGTCCCCAGGTCAGACTTATTTTAGACTTGGGCTTTCTTAGTCTGCTCTGAGCAGAACGCAGGCCGTAACTCTGGCGTGCCCAGAAAGACCCCACACCCACACCAGTGCCTTCCATCAGCCTCTGTGCCTGCCGGGAGCTGCTAAAAGCCCTTTTACCCCCACCGGGTTCACGCCGGGTTCGGCGCGGCCCCAGTGCGGTGCGGAGGTGCGGGCAAGGCATTGCTCGCCCTTTGTATTTACTCTTCGAGCCGAACCGGTGATAGAAGCGGGACTTGGCACGGGTGCAGATATCCATAGGAAGAAAAGGAATGGTGGGAGATAGGCAGGGCTGGGAGGCGAGGCTTAGGAGAGCGCTGTCCTGCTGCCTGTTTTCTAAGCAGTAATTTTAGAAAACGGCACTGTTTTATGCTTTTGGTGTTTTGTTTTTGTTTTTTTTTCTGTCACTTCTTAATGTTTACTCAAAAAGAAGAAAGATGGGAGCGCTGTGTGATGGTACAGTGAGATCTGGTGTTCAGTTTCCATTTACCTGCACAGCACAGCTACGAGTTGGTTTGGCACCTTTTGGTTGGGTTCTCGCATGGCACGCTCAAGTGGGTGTCTAAACATCATTAGCAAAGGGCGTTCTTAAAATCCTAATGCAAAACCCATTATTTTCAGTGCGGCTTTGTGTTTTAACAGGAGTTATTTATCAGCTGCTTACAAAACACAAATTGCCACAATTAAGAGGAAATGAACTTAATTTTGATGGACATTTTCCCACGTTCCTCTTCCCCTCCACTGGGGAAACGGCACAGATGGGTGCACTGTACCCCCCGGCTGCACACCCTGGGCATTCCGTGTGCTTTGGGTTTGGTTTGCAGACGTGGGGCAGCAGCCTGCGGTCAGGTGAACCTCATGTGGGCTGTGGCCACGATTTCCTGCCAGCAACAAAGGAGACAGTGCATCAGTGGGAAATGGAAAAGGATGAAGTCTTTGCAGCCGTGCACTGCCTTGCTGAAAGCATCCCAGCTCCCAATGAGCCATGTTAACTTTTACGGCTGATGGATAAAACCAATTCTGTTATCTTCTGAAAACAGAAATACCCCATCCTTTTTTCTCTTCCATTTTTGCAAATTCAGGGATACGTTTGAGCTCTGACACCCGCTGCCAATGGTGTTCCTTTCGTAATAAATATCGGTTTTAATATTATGCATTTGGTAATCTAGTTTACCCTTCATGAAGATTTTATGGCACGTTCTGACGCATACGGGGATAGATTTAGCACCATAAACCGTTCCCGTTCTGCTTATCTAATTCTCATTGACACCTATGGATATGGAGCAGCGGATCTGGGGCAGCCCGAGATGGATCCTTCTCCCACTGACACCGCTATAGATTGGAGTTGCTCCCCAATACCTGACCCCCAATGCACGTTTCTTGCTGAAGGGCAGCGGCTCGGGGCTGATTTATACTTCTCACCTCCAGGTGAGAGCGGGAGGCTCCGACAGAGCTCTGGGAAATGCGGGCAGCTCGTTGTCGGGAAGGAGGTAGTGAATGGGGCTGTGGGCCGCGGGGCTGGCTGTAACGTCCTCCTTTGCCCCTGCAGATATGCCCTGTGTGCAAGCGCAGTATAGCCCTTCGCCGCCTGGTTCGAGTTATGCAGCTCAGACCTACGCGTATGGCTCGGAGTACAGCTCGGAGATCATGAACCCGGACTATGGCAAGCTGAGCATGGAGCTGAGCGGCACCGAGATCACCGCCACTGCCACCACCTCCCTCCCCAGCTTCAGCACCTTCATGGAGGGTTACTCCGGCAGCTACGAGCTCAAGCCTTCCTGCCTCTACCAAATGCAATCCGCCTCCTCCGGCCAGAGGCCCCTCATCAAGATGGAAGATGCCCGGCTCTCCACCTACCAGCCCTCGCTGCCACCCTCGGTGGACGAGAGCATGCCCAGCACCTCTATGTACTTCAAGCAGTCGCCTCCCTCCACGCCCACCACGCCCGGCTTCCCCCCGCACCAGAGCCTGTGGGACGAGCCTCCGCTGCCTCCCACACAGACCTGCCTGCCCCCCGGCCACCTGATGGAGGCCGCCCCCATGAAGACTGCGCCTCCGCGCTTCCCCCTCTTCCACTTCAAGCACTCTCCTCCCCACACGCCGCCGGCGGGCCCCCACATGTGCTACGACCCGGCCTCCCTGAGCTTGCCGCTGGGCTCCGACAGATCACCAGCCGGCCAGGCGCCCATGGAGAGCCACTCCTACGGGCTGCCCTTGGCCAAGCGGCCGGCCACCTTAGCCTTCTCACCGCTCGGCCTCAATGCGGCCGCCTCTGGCCTCATGGGCGAGGCCAGCGGTGGTGGTGGTGGCGGGCTGCCCTCTCCGCCCAGCAGGAGTTCCTCGTCTGGGGAGGGCACGTGCGCCGTCTGCGGGGACAACGCTGCCTGCCAGCACTACGGCGTGCGGACCTGCGAGGGCTGCAAGGGCTTCTTCAAGGTGAGACACCCTGCTCCCCTCCCTGCCTGCCGCCCCTGGGCTCCAAGCTCCGCACCCACCATTGGTAGTTGTAGAAGTGGCTCAGAAGGCCAGAGCAGCACCGGCACGAGGAGGAAACCTCAGGCAATGTTGTGTTTGGTCACTGCCTCAGTGCTGCTCTTGGTTCAGGTGTCCCAGCACTGTAGCTCTGAATCACTGCTGACAGCAGTAATCTGCTTTGAGGCAGACGAAATCATGTGCTGACATTTTTAAGACTGAAATTCCTTCTGCTTTTAGATTCTGGCACTTCATAATTTCAGCAAATTTAGTTCAGGTTTTGTTTTGTTTTGTTTTTAGAAATGGCACCAGCGAAGCACTCGGGGTAGACTTTTTGGGGAGTGGTTTTGAGCAGTAGACTTTAAAAAGTTGATGAATTCAAGGCCAGGTTGGATGGGGCTCTGGGCAGCCTGAGCTGGTGTGGAGATGCCCTGCCCATAGCAGGGGTGGGGCTGGGGGGCCTTTGAGGTCCCTTCCAACCCAAACCATTCTGTAATTCTATGAGTCTATGAAATCTGGGGCCGATTCAGTCTATTTCTTTCAGCACAGATAGGAGTTGTGCCCCTGTTCTGCCAAAGATATCCTAACTACGATGGGAACAAAAATAGTCCCAAAGTAGTTGGAGGGGAGGGCTCACCTCGTTATGCTGTTGTTGTTGTGCATATAACTGCTGCTATTACTTGTTAATAATCCTTTGGCAACGAGTTAAAATACACATCTCCCCTGCAACTCGTTTGTTATTTAAAAATAATTATAAAATGGAGCACAGATAACTTGGAAATGGCAGCTCCTGAGGGCCTGACCCTGCCCCCGTGGAAATCTATAGCACGTCCCTCGTTGGGGGCAGGATCCACAGTTTGTCCTGCACTCTTCTTGTCTCAGTTCTCAAGTGTAATGAGCAGCATTTGCTGTGTCCCTTGTATTTAGTCCATTGCAGCTGCTCCTTGAGAAAGAACAATGTTAAAATAGCATTTCCTCAATAATTTAATTGCAGTGAAAGATTTAATACCAAACTGAACTGATGAATTTGATCCTCTTCTGATGCCTTTCCTATTAATATCTTTCGGTGCTAAGCTGTCTTTGACTTTAAGTACGAAAACAATATATAAATATCCTAACATATTATAATAATATATATATATTTTTTTGTGACGACTTCTATTACATTTTTTCAAGGCTCACCAGGTTTTTACAAATTTTTAATGCACGGTATAGTTTATATATAGTTATATGTAAGCCACTTTAAGCGTTAATTACATATATGGCTACAGTATAACTCGGTCCATTTCTTCCCAAAAGTCAGGTCGGCTTTCCCAGAATATTTAACTGAACATATTTGGAGGAGTTCTGCTATTTTTACTTTTCTCCCCGCTGATCTTAATGGCAACCAAACCAGTTGTTGTGGCATTCGCCTCACAATAGCGATAGCAGGAGAAATACATCGCAGATCGTTTTGGTTTTATTTTAATAAGGTCAGCAATAATCAAGGGAATGAACCAAGTAGAAAATTGTTCCCAAAGGGATATTAAAAGCGGAGATAATCTAATCCCCAAAGGTAGATGCGATGACCTGGTAATTTCAGATATGATTTTATCATTCAAAGTTGCCTGTCTCCGGAGACTTGCTTCAGAACAATCCTCGATGATTTTCATTGTCAGTAGCTAACACTAATAAAATTGTTTTTCCTGCAGGCTAGTGTGTTAGGAAATTAATTTTATCTAATTATATGAATTGCACTGTCGCTTTTCACGTTGTAATTAAAATACATGTTGTCAGGTTCCAAGTTGTTCACGAAACTCTCGGTTCGCTGTTTTTCTGTTGCCTTTTCTCAGAGGACGGTTCAGAAAAATGCAAAATATGTTTGTCTGGCAAACAAGAACTGTCCGGTGGACAAGAGACGCCGTAACAGATGTCAGTACTGCCGCTTTCAGAAGTGTCTCAGCGTCGGCATGGTGAAAGAAGGTGAGGGCTACTGCTATTATTATCCCAAATGCTGGAGCGTTACGTTGAACGAGCACGTGTGTGTGTGTGCGTGTGTGTGGACACAGACATCTTTACTACGGACTTGGCAATTAGCTTCCTAGCTGCCCCTCCAATTCGTGCATCTGTACAACAACACATCATTGATTATTTTTTTTCCTGTTGCCCAGTTGAGTGGGTTTAACATATTTAGACTTTCTGGGAGCCCAGAGTTCGAAGATTGCAAGGTCACAGGGGGATAATTTGACTCTGGCCAAAATGTGTCCTTTATGAACTCTGAATGCCATTCATTAATGCAGTTGGCTTCCGCACGTTATCTTGTAGCATCAGTGTTTCGTTGTCTTGGGTGCCTTTTTGCATAGGATCTTGTCTCGTGGCTATGAGCTGATTGTAAATTTGCAATTAATTTCAATGGAAACTGGATCAACTCATTAGTCCCTGTTCTGCAAATATTTAAGTATGTGAGTAATACTGTGTGAGCAGTCCTATTGCAAATACTGACATGGGAAATACAGCCTATATAGCGTGACCATATTTTTTGACTGCTTTGAGAAAGCTAAAGTTACTGTGAAAGAACAGCCCTGCCATATAGCAGGTGACGTTTGTGTTTCAGACTCTGTTTTCATTCAGCAGTAGGGCTGTATGTGTGCATATAGGGGTACATAGGTGTGCTGCAAACAAAACATGAGCACTAGAAACACAGCTGGGCTCCAAGGAAGCAGTTATTCTGCTGCTTACGGTCATAGTTGTAAGCAGTTTTGATACCGTTTGTGTTTCTTTGCTATCAAAGGCATCAACAGTGTGCTGAAATTGGAGAATGCTCTTATTTTTGCTGGGCTGGCCATCGCAGGGGAAGCAGGTGCTCATGCTGCTCTGTCGTTTTACCGTGTCCTTACCACCGACACACTTCTTTTCTATGCAGTTGTCCGCACGGACAGCCTGAAAGGGAGAAGAGGTCGGCTGCCTTCCAAACCAAAGAGCCCCCTGCAGCAGGAACCTTCGCAGCCCTCCCCGCCTTCTCCTCCCATCAGCATGATGAACGCCCTCGTACGAGCTTTAACCGACTCCACGCCCAGGGAGCTCGACTATTCACGAGTATGTCTCGCTTTTCTTTGTTTGTTTTCTGCATGGAAATGACTCATGAGCTGCATTCCTAGCTGGTTGGCTGAAATGAAAAGAAATGTGAAATTGGGGTGAGAGTAGAAGTTGGCCAGCCGGCCGTGCCTTTTGGGTGGGTGGGTAATGGTGGGGAAGGAGGTGTGCCGGCACCCGGTTGGCAGCTGTTCACTGTGAGGGTCTTATATTCAAGGTTATCTACCATGTATATTTGAGAGAGTGAAAGCAAATTATGTGGATAAGTAGACTGGTTGTCTTGCAAAAGGCTGTGATTACAATGCAACTGATTGATCTCCCAAAGTCAGGACTGTCCGCGTGTCTGGTATCTTAATTTTCAAGTTATTCATGCTAAAATCTAACGGAACTTTGATAGCGTGCAGCTATGAGTGTTGTGTGAAATAACACGCAATGGATAGCTCCGTTTACGTTGAAATCATAGGAAATTTGCCATTATTTCAAAGATTACAGAGCCCAGCTTTGGATGTCCCAGCAGGAATATTTCTTAAGTAAAATTCACATTCAGGAAACAAACCTCTAAATCAAAATTCTAAAAGATTGTATCAGCAAAGCTTCACCAGATATTATTTATTTTCTTACCCTAGTTCTTTAATGTGTAGTGGGCACCATTTAAATATTGATAAGGTATATTTTGAAAGCTTATAAAACTGCTTTGTAGTTATTAAAATATAGTGTAGAAGCAGCTTGTAAAATGCATTCTTAGGAAGGCTGAATATATGAAAAGAAAAAAAATATGGCTACAGAAAAACAAGATTCAAATTCCTTCCACTTAATGAAATATGATTAAATCTCAGACTGAAAAATACAGCTGTACTCAGACAATATTCACATTGTCCATTTATCACTTGTTGCTAAGTAATATTTAATGCTAAAATGTGTTCTGTTGTAATTATATAAAAATGTATTCTTCTAGCTTAGAATATGCTTATATATGTAATTACTTTTTAATATATTTTAATATGTACTTTTAAAATATACTACATATATAATTTAGCAATTATAGGTATGCTGTAACTTCCTTTCTTCAAGCTAGTCAGTATGTATACAGTCCAGCAGTTTTACAAATTGTTTTTATGAACGAGTTGTTTAGTGCCTGACAGCCTTTGGGGAAGAATGCATTGCCCATGTTTACATGTATTTTAACTTACCCAGGGAGTCTCGGGGTCGTTCTGCAAACACTGAGGTCCACGTCCAGCTGTGCTTTCAGACAGGACTCTGCTGGGTTCCATAGCATTAAATGAGCATGACAGCTCAGTCCGCGAGAGCATTATCCAATCTCACGTATTTACCTATAGAAGCAACATTATTTTGCATTATAAATAATAATAATTAAATGAAAACTCTGACTTTTTTAATGTGACTTTCTTCTTTATCCTGTGACAGCTATTGCTGTTCAAGTGGAAAGGTCTCACTGCTGAACAATCCTGGTGGTCGTTTACAGAACGCATAGGATTGGCAGCAGATTAGTTTAGTTTCGGTAGCTAAAAGATTATGTATGGTTGTTAGGACACGCTAATACCTACCTTTTTCTTAACATTAAAATATATACTAATCTGTTATCCTCGGCAGTACTGAAAATACAAAAAATAAGCTAAATGAAAGCAATAGATTCACATGCTTTCTGTGAACCTTATATTTCCTTAAAAAGTTAAGGGAAATCAGGAAAGACTGCTGAGTAGACACTGACATTAACTAACAGAAACATGCTGGAATCCGACTGTAACACTCAAAACTAATGTGAAGGACGCTGTACCTGTAAGGACGGGCTTGCGGCACGCTCTGCTCGGCCGTGACCCTGCCGTGCACCACAAATGGGTGGATCTGAAAGCCTGGCTTGGAGTCAGTCCTAACACTTCCATAGTCGCGACCTTAATGTTTAGCATGGTCTTCATGTTTGCAAGATGTTTGCAACGTCTTGACTGTTGCAAAAATACAGATAAGAGTTTCGGAGAGGAACGTGCGCTTCTTCCCTCCAAACAAATGCAACCATCTACACCAAAAAAACCAAAATTAAATTGCATAATCCATATGTTTTAAAGCAAAACACAGTGGAACCAGTTCTGTTGAGAACATGGCTACTTCTCATTTCAGCACTGGTTTTAACTTACCAGCCCACAGCAATGGTATATTTAGGTACTTGGTTTCAAAAAGCAATTGCTAGGAACAGAATTTGGTTTATGAACTTTTTAAAGGCCAAGGGCCGTGGTCAGGTCTCACACCTGTTTCACTGGTACAATTCCATGGGTTTAGACTTCTCAGTAAGTGAGATGAGAAGCAGACCCTGTACCTTGCCGTCCTTCTTCAGGCAAAGCAGCCACCGACTTAAATGGAGATGTTTATTTTTTGGTGGGGCATTCAGCCAATGATCCCACCCCAATCCCTAACTAAAATATGTAGCAAATGTTGGTGCTTCTGACACAGGAAGGGTACGTGGATGCATGGAGAAACAAGCCTAGCTTCTAGCTATCATATGGTAAATATGCAACACCATCATTGTTAGACTTTTGTAGCTCCAGCAGTCCATGGAGGTCTGATAAAAGTAGGCAAGGGGTCGGGCTGGATCATGCTATCAAGCTATCAGCCTTTTAGATATACCTTATAAATCAATGTTGCTTGCTGTGCACACATCTCTCCCTTGAGCCAGTCGGTGTCGTTTAATTCCTAGCAGGGCAGCAAGCACTGTGTAGGGCAGAGCTATCCCTTTTTGGGATATCCCTGTGGCAGGGGGGTTGGAAGTGGATTATCTTTAAGGTCCCTTCCAACCCAACCCATTCTATGATTCTCCTCAGTGAAATAATCATGAGGGAAAAGAAGAAAAAAGTTTTTTGTGCATAAAGCTGAAGCATACATTTTTTTATGCCTTCTTATACACTCATGAAGACCGCTGGAAGTAAATAATATTTTATTTCAGCTGTTCTCTGTAAGTGCTAACTCTGTGTAGCAAGCAGTGACATATTATAGCAGTTCAAAACTACATAATTCCTTATAGTTTTTACCTTTCTTCTAAAAATGCTCTCAAGGGCTGAACTATAATAACATATGCAGGTTAATTTTTATTTATTTATTTGTTTATTTATTTGGTGCATTCAATTTAATTAAGTGGCCCACGTGGGGTATACAGTACTGCAGCATTCAGTTATGTGACATAATGCAGCATTCAGCTTTGTTGGACAATATTAAAACTTTGTCTTACTTTTGCTGAAGGAATGCTTTATAATTATTGAGAAGTTAATACCTGACATCATTACACCAACTTGCGATGTGTTATATTTTGGGTGAATTTAGGGTAGTATCTTTTTTCTTTTCCCCCCTTTTTCACTGATAAGAGGATCAAGAATGTGTCTTACCTTAACACTACCTGTAGGCAAGGCAGGAATTTCCATCAGCCCACATTTGCTGTTTTCTCATATAAAAGGAGTCACCTCAGCTCCTGCACAACAGGGCAGATCTTCTAGAGTTTGAGGAGCTGAAGACCACACAGTGGACAAGACCACCACCTCACATTCACTATCTTAGCTTCATTACTAGGGGCTGCAAGATCTCTACATACCATCTTTTTCCAGCCACAAACTGTTCCCCAGTGCATTGTGCTGCAGTTCAGTGCCAGGAGTAGTGTTTTGCACTGCTTGAACTTCCTCATCAGGTTCTTTCATAGAAAGAAGAGATGAGCCTCTTGCAGTATACAAATTTTCTACTGCTGTTTCCCATCTTCTGGATATTTCATCCTCCCTCTTGCAACTCTGTCCTCCTTCAGAGTGGCTGTGGCAGAATTTGTCTCCATGTGAGCACTGACAGCCCAGATGTAGCCAGAGATTTCTAGGACTTCTCATGTCTTTGCTGTGGTTCAACAATCAATTTGACTGTGAAACTCTGTCCTACCAACAGCAAACAGCTCCAACTAGGGCAGGCAGGGAACAGGACGCCTACCCAAGAGGATCTGCTTGCTGTTCCCCCCTTTCTGGCCTGCACAGAGAGTTAATTGGGTGATACATGCAGCCAAAGGGGTATGCCTGTAGTAAGATCCTTCCAGGCTCCCATCGTGCTCAGTGGAGAGGAGATGTGGGTCCTTCTTCTTCCCCTCTGACTTGGGCTGCTAGGAGTGCCTTCAGGCTGATGGGCTCAGGTATAACTGTGTGTGGAAAGTAGCTTCCAGTGGGTGTGCACTAATGAAGATCACTCCATCCTTTCCCTGGCTGAGTCTCAGAGGTAGGGCTCATAAGGAGTCCCTCCCAAAAATACCCCACACGATGCCTGATGGGCAGGTTGCTGTTACTTCCCAAGCACACAATCAGACTAAGCCACCAAAGCTCCTATTACTTTTTCTCTTGAAAAGAACAGTGCCCCGGGAGCGACAGGGATCCAGTGCTGAGGAAGTGAGAGAGAGCAGGGAGGGAGCTGCCGGAGGGTCGCAGGGAAGTGCTGCAAGCTGGGGCTGTCAGGCGGTTGTTTGGAAAAGTTATGGCCGAATCAGTGGGATAATAGGTTCTCCTGAGCCTGAAATGCTTCTCTGTCTAGGATAAGAGGTGATACGGGGCAGCTGGTTTACTTTCAACCAGTTCTGTATTCAAATGAAGCCATGCTGCACGTGTCAGATAAAAGATGATTTATCTTGCGTGTCTCTATCACTGTCTGATAAAATGCAATTTGAGAAGCTGGGGAAGAAATCTGCATTTTGGACGTACTGAGACAAATTCATCAATGGGAAAAATGTTTAATTGCAGTAAGCTAAATGGCGTTCCTCCTTTATTGTGGTTGAAATTATCCTCCCCACCAGATTGCTGTTCCTGTTTGCTAATAGCATGGAGCTACTTGCAAAATGTGATAAATATTGCATATTACTTACAAATTTCAAACAATTTCTCTAATTGTGGAAATGTCTTTGCAATATACATCTGAATAGCAAAATGCCTCCAGGTAGCTGAGCAGGTGGATAGATGGAGATCTGCTCAGCGTGCCTTGGATGCTTGTGTCAGCGTTGCTGCTGAAGGAAGCATTGTTAGGCAGGTAGCACCATATGCTCCTCAGGATGCCCTGAAATGCATGTCGTGTTGTAATGCTGCTTTCTGTGGTTTTTCTTTCAGTACTGTTCCACCGACCAGGCTGCTGCAGGCACAGATGCAGAACATGTACAACAGTTCTATAATCTTCTGACTGCCTCCATTGACATATCCAGAGGCTGGGCAGAAAAAATTCCAGGATTTACTGACCTCCCAAAAGAAGATCAGACATTACTCATAGAATCAGCTTTTTTGGAGCTGTTTGTACTAAGACTCTCCATCAGGTAACTATTTCTTTCATTTCCTCTTCAGCTGATGTGAAAAATCACCCATGTGCACATTCTTAGGATAAAATATAGCAATACACTGGAATGCTGTCAATTGCAAAAAACAAACAAACAAAATGATGACAGAAAACATCAACAATGTCTACATCCACAAGAGATGATGTATAATTTGTTTTATGCTGCACAAAAGATAAGGCAGTGATTTTAAAAGGGAGCATATTTCTCACTAATGCGCTTCTTTTTATTTGATACACCACATCCTCTTCTTCTGTAGAAATCAAAATTGATCCTTGGGTACAGTTTGAACAACTTTGCTTCATACTCATCAGCATAAACTATATAAAAGCATTTTTAGTATAGAAGCTTCTCCTTTTTTTTTTTCCTTTTTTTTTTCACACATGCATAGCTCTGTAGTCTGTTGTTGAAAGGGATAAATGAGCTTTAAAATCTTGCTCAAATTATTTTTTTCCTTAATACCAAGTCACTCAGCAGAACGAGGTGCTGTCTGTCAGCCTGGCACCAGCTAAGATATTTCACCAAAGACACTTTCAGGGACTGGAGAAATTCCACACCGGTGATTCGAATTATGCCTTGCTTCTGTAGGTCGAAAATGACCGTTGCATGTAGCTCTTAACAGGGATACTGGCAATGGGGGGTGGGAGGAGAGAGATCCTGGCAATAACATCACTCTTGCGATAGGTTCTCACATAAAGAGTCTGTTATGTTGTGCATTACTGCATGTGTTTTCCATTGTTTTTTTCTGTATTAATTTTTAGAATATGAAAAATGCAGATCAAACCAAGTAAGTGCTGAGAGTTGCAGAACCCCGTCTCTCCTCAGCTTTTATTAGTTTTGCATTTCAAAATGCACACACGTAGTATTACTGCGATTCAAACATACAGTATTTAATGTAAAATGTCTTCTCTGTTTATGCCTTTGGGCAGGACCAAAATCTTAACTAATTAGACAGTCTACGCCACATGCTACAGCTAACCTCAGGCTTATATCTCTACAAAGTAAGCAATCACAGAAGCTTGTTTGTTGTACTTTTGCCCCAAGGGAGAGGCATATTGTCAAACGTGAATGCCCACATATGTCTCAGGATAATGTGCCTTGGATTTTAAATGACAGACACTTCAATCCTGGTTATGCATTTTGCTGTAAAGTTGAAGATGCGTCTCTCATTTTTTCAATTATTTTTATTTGAGGTCTGATACTGCTGAGGATAAGTTTGTATTCTGCAATGGACTTGTGCTTCATAGACTTCAGTGCCTTCGTGGATTTGGGGAGTGGCTCGACTCTATTAAAGACTTTTCCTTAAACTTAAAGAGCCTTAACCTTGATATCCCAGCCTTAGCAAGTTTATCAGCTCTAACTATGATAACAGGTAAGTGCTCCTTTGTTATATACTGCTTCAGACTCGTGCTTTACTTAGTGTAGATTCAAGCAATTTCAGTTAACTTAGCAATATTCTGGATAAAGTAATTGCAATTTTTAAGTGTCATAATGACCTCCATGAAATTGTAGACTGTAACATTAGACCATCAGATACATCTATTAAACTGTAATCTGACTGTCTATTTCTTCTTGTTTTCATTGTTTTCTTGGAATTGTCTCTAAAAATCAAATTGCTTCCAAGCAAACTGAGTAGCTCCTACAAAAATCTTTTGAAATCCTTGCTGGATTCCTAGAAAGCAACAAATCACCAGAGGAAAGTCTTCTGCATGGAAATACTAACATGAGGGTGGTTTGAGGGCTAGAAGCTAGATGGCCAGTATAGCACGGTGCCTGAAAGAGTGCTGCTTTTGGGTGGTATTCTATGTAGGCATTCTGTGTTCTGTGTATGGTATGGTAGGTATTCTATATTCTATGATTTGTTGAGAGGGAAAAATTGGAGAAGAGTTAGAGAAGAGATCCCTTCTGCAGCTTTACAAAAGCTTTTGGGTGTGCCAAGGTACGTGACCTTACCTCCCCTTCTGCCTGGTGGGGTGAATAGCCGGAAACTAAAGAACCTGCCAAATCTGGGTAGGAAGTACAAAACAGAGGAGCATGATGTTATGAAGTATCACTTTCTCATCCCTGACCAACAAAGCCACTTGAAGCACGCACTGCATACTGTGGGCTTTTGATAATTTAGGGGGTACAGCTGGAGAGGCAGGAGGGGTAAGGAGTGCTAGGGGTGAGAGTGTCTGATGAGCCACAGGAGCTCATCAGAGCAGCTGGAAGCCTGACTCTCGTTTCAGAAAAGGTGCTAGTGGAAAGGTGCTGGAGATGTGATGACAGCAAGGGCCAGCACCTCAGCGTGCCTCAAACTGAGTCTGCCTGGGGATGCTAGGAGCTCTGATGGGGTGGATATTGATTTCCTCTTGCATTTTAGGCAACTACCAGTTTGCAGGTGGTAGCCTCAACTAAATCAGCTGCAGTCTTTCTTTGGATGAGTGGATGCATGGGAAACACTGACATAAAATGTTCAGTGGCAAATGAAAAACTCTGTACATTGGCCAATTCCCACTGACATTTGTAGGGCTAAATTTTTGGCTTCAGAATTTAGGTGGTACACTTCCCTCTTGTTTGAGAGAGGGGTTTGCTTATATTTGTTGTAGCCCAAACGCTTTGCTTATTGCTAGAAATATTCTAAGGTTTTAATTAACTTACATTAGATTTTTTTCTGCTGTTTGGAAAGGATATGTTAAGGTCCAGATTCTGCTTTCTTTGATAAAATTCTTAAGTCCAGAATAATTTGGGATTGCTTTGTTCCACATGAAAAAAAAATCGAATGATATGTTAAACTCATAATGTTCCCAACTTATTTTTGACTTCCTTATTCAGAGATCACACAAAAGCATAAGTACTTGCATATATGTATTATAAATACATGTGTGTATGTACATATCATATATAAATAGTATATGTGTGCTTATTTACGTACCTGTAAATCAAAGACAGTTACTATCCCTCTCCACATATATGTACACACAGACACATATGCTCACATATGTACAGTGCTTGTCACTGATTTAGATAATATCTGATATATTTGATATGTCTTTTTAGGTAGACACAGATTATGGAGCTTGTTCTTGATTAGCTTTCTGGAGACTGAGAGGATATAAGTAGATAAAGAGGAGTTCCTGCAATCAGTCTGACTATAGATAAGGCTGTTCTATAGGATGAGAAGTTTTTTCTCCTTACAAAGCCATGACCTGCTTTTTATTGAGTCGGACATTATTTGGTTGTCTTTAAAGAGTGGCTGGCTCAGATCACCATACAGTATTTAATAGAAATATTTTTTCATTGATAAAACTCCACAATCCTTCCTTTCACTGCTAACAGCCCTTTCAGGAGTTTGCTGTCTTATACTGTTCTTCTCAAAGTTTCTAAACAAATAGAATGCCTTTAGAAGGAGAGCATTTCTGTCCCTAACAGCTTTAAGGTTTTCTGTATTTGAAACTTTTTTACTTGATTTCCTGTGCACCCTACTGTAGGGATCCTGCTTTAGTGGGGGTTGGACTAGATGATCCAGATGTCCCTTCCAACCCCTATGATTCTGTGATTCTGTGATTTTCTACTCTGTAAGAGGTAGTGCTTAAAATTCATGTAGTTTTCTGTTTATTCTTTTATGTCACAATGCCAGAATATCTCTGCTGATTTGCTCTCAGAAGAGAGTAGCACTCCATGCAATCTAAATTAGATCGAGGCTCCTGTGTCTAGTGATTGATATTCACAGGTTTAAGATCTCTAAGGGCATTTAGGGACTCAGTCAGAAATTTGGCCACCTGAAAATGGATGGTACTGCATAAAGATGAATATTAAGAAATGGAAAATGAAAGTGGAAATCAGGTAGCTATGGCTAATCACTAAATGCTGAGCTGGTGGTTCTTTTGAGAATTTCGCAGCAGTTATATATTTGTAATGTTCTTAATCAGGAAAGCCTTGAGATTTGCCCATGAGAAATGGCATCCTTGTCTTCTCTTGACATTTTGAGTTTGACAAGTCAGATGCTGATTTTCAGATAGTCCTACCAAAAAGGAAGAGCAAGGAAGATAAATTTTGGAAATCAGGTATCTGTTGAACATTTTAAGTGACATATTTGAGTCTTGGCTTAGATTCAGGTGGATGTTTTAGTGCCATTGTTTATCCTACAGAGAAGACACTTCTTTCCTGTACTGAACTTCTGGAGGCAGAAGGTAGTAAACCGTGGTCCAAATCCTACCTGTGAGTTAGAGCAAGAGAGAATGACCTTTTTACAGGAAGATAGGATATCCAGCTACTGAGTGTCACTGTCTTTTGTGTTGAGGCCATTTGCAGTTTTGTGAATTTAGTTGTTTGCTTTTAATAGAAGTGCTGCACAACAAAACATTGGCTTGAACAACATTTTCTTCATTATCACACAAGTTGCTCCAGTTCTTGTTTTACGTTCGTCAATTTTTCGTGGCTTAAATGCTCAGCCAAAAAAAAAAAGAGAAAATGATGTGTAACAGTTGCATCTGGTTTAAATACTGTACAGCACCTTAGGTAGCAGCAAATCTAAGAATTGTCGCTCCTAGTACAGCATATGCTCCTGAGAATGATGACCGGTACAGCTTGATTTCATGAGTGCTCTCCATAGACCAAACAAGGACATGCTCTTAGGAAACAAAACCTCTTGTAGTCGTTGAAAGTATCAGTGAAGGAGGAAAGTAAGAGAAGCCACTGCTTGCTTTCATACCTTTGCTGTTCTGTGAGGGTGGTGGGAACAACAAATATCTCTCTCCCAGTGAAGGAAAAGGGGATAAATGTAACACATTGTGTTGGGGAGTAAAAAACATCCCGTTGTTCCCAGTGTCCCAAGGTGCTGAGGGCTGATCTCTCATTTGGGGATATCAAATCAGCTCCTGAGTAAAATCATGGTAGTTCCAAAGCCCTATAACTATCTCAACTGCAGCTGCAGGTCACAGTATATGATGCATGGTTATCGGCATATACGAACATTTATGCTGTTCAGTAATCTTGATTAGAGCAGCAGGGGACCTATTGAATATCCCAGTATTCACTAATTCTCTGCTTAGTTTAAGTAAAGCTGGTGGTATGCATAGCATAAGATAAACAGGAAAAGATTTTGTAAATTTGCATCCATTCGCAGATCCATATATTTGTGCTTTTCCTGTTTATTTGATGTTTCCTGGGAATTTCCAGTGAGTCCCATAGAAATAAAAGAACCATGTCAGAGTCCTGCTGAATTTTCAGGTAGGAGATTAGTTCGAAAGAGCCCTGGAATGCAACCAGTGACATTTGGTTTATTGTGAGTGGCTTGTAAACAGTTAAAATTCCCTAATGTCACAGCCTATTTTTTTTTCTTTAAGGTACTCCTTTAGGATCTTCCTCTCTCTGTCTCTCTTCTCCTTTTTTACTTCCTTCAGTTGGTTAAGAAGGGTTGGACACAACTTCCTCCAGAGCACATCAGCAGTGCTCTGAGCATCAGCCAGAAAAAAAAGTAATTAGAAGACACTCACCCCACATCCCCCTGAAAGCAAAAAATGCGTTCTGTCCTGTTCTTTTGGGTCACTTGTTCTGTTGGGATGTAGGATAGAATGAGCTACAGAAGAGTCCCAACATGGAAGGAAAGGCTCTGTCCTTAGTTTCATGATGATGACATCTGTTAGTTTAGTAGGTTGTACAGATCACAAGTGTTTCCGTACAACCACTTCATGCTGGACTTTCTCTAAGTCTTACACTGTGTTGATGGTGAAGATCAGCTAAACAAACCAGATATGAGCTTGGACTATTGTTTAAAATACCCCCTTAGCTTCCTGAATGGTCACTAATAATGCTCTTCTGCCAATGTCAAAATAGAAGGATTGAGATTACAGTGAAGATCATCTGAAGGGCTCACGCTTAGTCTCATATTTGTGCTCTCTCTAAAACTGCTTGTGTTTTCTTTCTCTCTCTTGTTTCTCTTTTCCTTTCTGTCTCTTCCTTTCTCTATCCACATCCAAATATTATTGTTTTGCCCACTTGACACTCTCAGTGGGATGCTCTGAGCACAGTGCATTCTCACCCTAATTTAGCCAAGCTCTTTTGGCATATGTTTTAATTTAAGTATTTTACAGACCAGTTCAGAGCCACTGTATATACTAGGCTTATTCACGCTCTTCCTGCTTTGTTAGACTGGCACTAGAACACTGAAGAATATTGTGAGGTTTCAATTAATGGTGAGTTTATATTTGTCTTCCTGCTGCTGAGCTCTCCCTTGCAGTTTACAAACAGAGTTTTTACCAAGAAATAGTATTGACTCTGGGCTGGCCAAAAAGGGTCTGGCTGCTGCAGTTCCCTTCTGTATATGGATCTGTCTGACTTTCCACAGGGGGAGAGGCTCACCTCCTCTTCAGCAGCAGATACCCTCAGTCCCATTGCCAGGATTCTCCGGAGTGGCTGCTTCATGTGCTGAGTCTATATAGGAGCAGGTGGCAGACTGGAGGAGTGTAGGAGAGCCGCTGATAAAAAAAAACCCTCCAGATTGCATTGTCTGCCTTCCCCTCTCCACTTTGACGAGGGAAATACTGTCAGCATCTGATGTGAAGCACTCACTCCTCCTCCTCTCCCACTCCTTTGATGAGGCAAGAACTCTTTCCTCCTGGAAGCTCCTGGTGGCCTGTGTTAAGTTGTGGTTTTCCTAAAGAAGGGAGCATACTGTGGTGTCCTCTCTGATCATTCAGCTCACCTAACTTTAGGTTCTTTGCCCAGAAGAATACAGATCACCTCTTAAAGGTGGTTCACCCACCTCAATTCCAAACCGTCTTCCAATACATTTGTCTTTGCACTGATGGTAGAAGGAGCTTGGAAGTCTGTGTCCACAGCCTGGGACCTTTGTGAAGTGCCTGAAAGTTAGGCAGGGTGCATGTGGCCAGGCTGCAGGAAAGGATGCTCCTGGGTCCATCAAGTTGCTGCTTTGCCGTGCAGTCAAGCATGTGTAAGGCAATCAGAAAGCTGTAGGCAACAGAGCCTGGTGTTTCTTTGAGTTAGAGAAGGGGAAGAGGATTGTGAAGGGGGAAGAGAAAATCAGATAATTGTATTGAAACCGAGACAATCAAGAGGCCTATTTTAAGTCTGTACCATTAATCTGCTGCATTTCTGACAGGACTGTTTCTGACACTTCAGAATTAATTAAAGCTAAAACTGACCTGCCCTGACACAGAGCGCAGAGCCTAAGGGTCTCTCAGCTACTCAAGATCTTCAAAACACTTGTACTTTTTGAGGGTGTTTTTCATAAAGGTGGAACCAAATCTGCCTAGCCCTGATGTCATCTGCCCTAAGACACAGACCAGGGAAAGGACTGGCACAGCTGGTGACAGCTTTTCCTACTCTTTGACTCTCTTCTTAAGAAGTTTTTGCTGATCAGCATAATTATAGGACAGAATCACATCAAGATTCCCGGAAATTGTGTGTGGGAAAAGGAGAAAGGTGTAAGAAACTTCCTGTGTTCACTTTGCCAGAATGAGCTGCTAAGTTTGCAGAGCTTTAAAGGCAAGACTTCCAATGAATCATTTTGACAGGCTTATGGAGAGCATCCTTGCCATAAATCACCGTTTTTCTTGCAAAAATCAATGGTATCCTAAACCACGAGGCTGAGAAATCCTATATTCACTTTATCCATGCCTTTTTAATTGTCCCTATAAGAAAGTCTGAATACAATAATATTTACACACCTTCTCGATTGGTTAGAGAAAATCTATTGGTTTTGACTAGCTGTCTTTCTTGGGATAAATCTTGGCCTTCTCAGTCATGTGTGGATAAGAACATTCTGTGGAATACCACAAATGATTAGGAGACCACTGATTGCAGAGACAGGGTACCTGCTTACCACAGGTGCCTCATTTTGATACATGCAGGTTAATTAAGAAAGACTGCAGGTCTTTCTTTCCCCTAAAGTCACTGGCTGTGTGGAAAAGGCAAGAAAACTTGTTTCCTGTTATTTGAACCCTAACTACTAAACTTAAATCTTTGATGTGACTTAGACCCAAGGCTCCTCAGGTCTACCTGAGAGAGGTAATGACCAGCTTGCAATGGCAATGCTAGGGCAAAGTGCCCATTTTTAGCAGAGATGCTTCCAAGCAGATGGCTTTGACATTATGGGCCCTGAAGGGATGCCTTAAGGATTGGAGTCTGCAAACCCCTTCTATCAGTGAAGCAGTTCCAGTTGTCAGAAACGACATCTGTAGAGACAGAGCAAACATCAAACACTCACGTGGGCAATTTGTGCAGGGGAAGACAATCTTGTTTGTTGGAGACTGCTTTTATGTTGTAGGACCAAAGAGCAGATCGAGGTTGTAGCATGCCTTACTTCTGCATTTCCTTGATTTTGTTATTTAAAGTAAGTCTGCTAATATTACAGTCTATGCACATACTGTATTTTGCATTGGCATGCTTCATGGCTAGACGTCAAAGACATGATTTGTTCGTGAAACCTTTTGAACTTGTCCTTGTAAGACAAAGACTGTCTAGTTCTTACTTGAAATGTTAACAACATTGCTGTATGCTCAAAAGCCAGAGATCATTTTCCATACTCTATGGCAACATACACATCTATTGAGGCACTGGTTTGAAAATGTGCTTTGCTATTCTGAAGTCAGAGTTGTAGTATTTCAGCTCTGCAGATCTATAAAGATATCTTCACTTACATAGCCAGGAAACAACATCAGAACCGATTAAAAGATGGAAACTTTTCAAAGACCACAGGATTGACTTCATGTCCTGCAGATTCTCAGTGGGCTAGAGGTATAAAAAAAACATCAAACCATCAACAACCTACAGCTTTTTAAATTTGTATAAAATATTTATCCCCCAAGATTTTTAATGGCAGAATCTGGCTAAGTATTTACTCCTAGTGACCTGTGTAGTTAAGGTTTACATAATTACACTACTCAACATTTACTGGAAAGGCTTTAAATATTCATTGACTCCTCATGTTTTAATGTAAACAAAGCACTTAGGATACCCAAGTTTTTTAATTCCTTCAAGGTGAAAAAGATGTCTGAAGCAGATGCTGCTGCTTGGATGAGCATTGCTCTGAAGCAGCAGAGCACGTTGATGGTACTTCATTGCTTCACCTTCTGGCCAGAGATGTATGCGCGTGCCTCCTGCTTCTGATCCCAAACTAGTATTTTTCAGGAGATAGCTCTGCGTAACTCAGTAATGTTGAAACAGTGTAGAAGGGGTGAAAATCACTGGAAAATCAGACCTTTCCATTTCTGACTGCCTTCATTGAATTCCATCTGTTTTATTGGTTTGTCAAGAGCATTGGGCCAAAAACATCAGCGAGGGGAGGCATAAGTAGTTTATACACACATGTCAGGGCAAGGCACTGCTGTGCCTGCTTCTGGAAGTAAAGAAGACTGTGCTCTTTCCAGCGTTCATCAGGGGGTGGACAGAGAAAGTATCTACTGCCTCCTCCTCCTGGAGTAAAGAGAAAGGAGCAGGACTTGGGGCAATTGGCACAACACAGCCCGTGGCTGCCGGGGTGGAGGAGAGAAATGGGGCAGGCAGACAGCTTCAGATGCATCAGAAGAAATGCCACGATCCCTCACTGCTCATCCTATACCATCACTGCTTTTTCCATCCGTTGACTAAAATTAATTTAATCTGTGTTATCTTAGACTACTCTATTCAGTCTAATGCTGTTTTGCATGTAAGTGGAGAGCGCTTTGTTGTGAAGCCGCTTTTTACTTATCTGTGAATTTCCAAGTCAAAGGAAAAATCAAAAGGCCACAAAATTATTTGAGATCCTTCTTCTGAAATGTTAAATTAATTCATCCACTAAAATTTGATAGCAAACAACATGAAATTATCTCTCTCGTACTAATAAAGAGCCAGCTTTGAATGAATGACAAATCCGATTCATTACACCTAAGCTTAAAGAACTGGGGAGGTATTTAGCAGCATTGCAGCATTTTAAAAAGCTATTCAAATGGGGACAAGCCGCGGCTTCCCTTGCTTTTAGGAATGTTGAGATTTTTTTTGTGATGGATAACATAGCAGCCTTTTCATTTTAGGCACTGCTTACTCAAAGCAAAATAGTTAACTTCCAGGCTGTTTTTATTTTGAGCCTTTTAAAAAAGAATGAGTTAAAAAGCAGTAGCTGATCAAAATAACAAAGGATGGCGAGTTGCTTTTAGTTTCTTATAAGAGTGTTTGCAAATTCCTGGTGGAATTCTGGGCCTGGCGCTGATGAAGCTGGCTAAGGATATCGATCGCCACTTGAATTCACTGAATAAATAATGGTTGCCATAGTTATTGAGCATTCACAACTGGTGGGGAAGCACAGAAATCTCCAAAACACCTCCTGTGATAGTTTTGCTGGAAAATCACCCAGTTAATTCTGTCTCCTATCGCAGAAATTATGTGAGATACACAGGATACTCGGACGCATTATACTAGAATTTCAGTCATGATTGAGCATCTCTGTTACCCATTTTAGTAGCTAAAAAGAAACAGGGGCTTATCATCTCTTATTTTGTGTGACAAAAAGGTTAACTGACATCGTATAACCTGAACTGTTGAAAGAAATCATACACTTTTTGAAGCATCTTTTGCTTCGATTACCAGAGCACATAGTTATGCTGAAGCATATGAGTCCTCTCCACTTGAAGTAGGGATGCTGACATGTTTGTGTTTCTTTTCTTGTGCCCTCACTTTGCAGAACGACATGGCTTAAAAGAACCAAAGAAAGTGGAAGAGCTATGCAACAAGATCACAAGCAGTTTGAAAGATCACTTAACTTTCAGTTGCCAAAACAAAGGACAGCCGCTCGAGTCCTCAGAGCCTAAGGTACTGGGTGTTCTTGCTGACTTGCGTTCTCTCTGCACACTGGGACTGCAGCGCATCTTTTACCTGAAACTGGAAGACTTGGTGCCAGCCCCTTCCATTATTGACAGGCTGTTTCTGGACACCTTGCCCTTCTGAGTCCAGCCACCCTCCTGAAAGGCAAATGCCCACCAGAGCAGGCAAACGGATCGTGACTTACCGCTAACATTTCTGCCCTCACTTAACAGAAAAGCAGCTCCAGCTCTAAAATGAGGTCTTTTCTGGCGCTTTGTCCTTACAACATGAGGCCTAAAACTTACTGGCTTACTGTTTTGGGGTTGTGTTCTTTGTTTTTCTTTTTTTTTTTTTTTTTTTTTTTTTGAGTATTTTTTTGTGTGTGTGTGTGTGCGTGACTTGGGTTTTTTAAACGGCTAATATGGCACTTTTGGACAATGCTATCCCAGCAGCAGTAAAAGGTTAACACGACTGTTTCAAACCTGTTGTTTAACACCTCATGGGACATGAGGAATACAGTGGTAGAAGATGTGTGTTTGAAATCAAGAACAGCAAGTAGTTGTTTGCCAGGGTAGTATGTGTTTCGTGAGGATACCGTTAGCATACTTCCTGCATCAAGGGCACATACATCAGCACAATCGAAACAAAAATCTCACTTTTTTAACAAAGTACATTCAATTGAACATTTCATATAAATCCAATATAGCAAAATGACGATGGCTGTTAGCTCCCATGTTCAAGTGCAATTTTTTGAAGTGCTGTCTTACTAAGTCTTGTTTATTAACTAATTTATTTTAATATGAAAATAAAAGGAAGAAACCAAGTGAGAAACTGACGTGCACTAACTTACATGACAGAGTTTTCCAAACTTGACTCCGTGTAGCGTGACTTACTGACAAATGTCTGTGGGAGACATGGGAACGACCACGGCTCAGTTGTTCCCTAGACAAGGAAATGCAAGTAAGTAGTGGCTGGAGCGCACAGGGTCAGCATCAGGGATAGTTTGCCTTTAGACTTTAACAGAAGTACCTGGTTAGTAAACAGACGCACGATGGGTTTCAAGAACAAGCAAGTCTTGTAAAATAGTATGAATGTAAGTGCTAGGAAGGATATAGTGAGCTGCGTTTAAACATTCCGTGTTCGTACTCCTTTTTGTATGTTTATACTGTTGATGCCATATTAATATGAAATAATTTGTTGCATAGTGTCTTTATTTGTATAAACGTTTGTATGCATGGTATATTGTATTGGCTTTGCCTGTATTTATTGCAATGACTGCCAGCTCGTAGGAGCCCTGTTACACACGATAAGGAAATGGGGTGTTCACACTGACTCAGATACACCAGTTGGAAAACTATATACATATATATAATGTGTATATATATATATGTATATACCTATATTTGTGTGTGTGTGCGTGAGCGTGCGCGTGTCTTTTTATTAACCATTTGTATATAAAATATCTGTCAGATCACAAGCAGAGCTATTTTACAGTTCATTTGCAGTGACTTCTAAGGCAGTACTGTTTAGCACTTTGATATTAAAATCTTGCTCATGTTTTGCTAAATTCAAATAATATTTAAAGATTTTAGTTCTAAAAAAAAACTTTATATGCACTGTATTAAGTCAAAATTTTGTTGGTCATTTTGCTAAGGAAATTTTTGAATGTCAACCTGATGTCACTGTATCTTTTGTTAGCTTTAAACATTCTAGCTTTTGTCTTTTTTTAAACTATGCTGTTTATATGGAAATTAAATTATACAATCAAACAGATGCCAAATGAATTGCCTAATTGCTGCAAAGGATAACCCAGATATCGAGTCACTGTATGGTTTTCAAATAGTAATCTGGTATTTTATCACTTACTATGTTTGGATGTGCTTTTATGAAAAAATTATTCTTATATCAAGATTTATAGTAGTGTCAATAGGGAAACAGACTTCTAATCACTATAGTTAATATTTCCGGTTTACCTGCAGATAATATTTGGAAAAGTATTGCTTTTTGTATTGACTTTTAAGCTTATGTGCAAACATAATAGCATAATTAAATATCAGAGAAGCTAATGTTTCTTGTAGGTTGCTGTAACAAGCCTGACCAGCAAGACAAATATATTTTGACTGAACTTGCTTTTGTATATACTAGATATATATATATACATATATATATATATATACACACAATCACACACATGTGCGCATACAAAAACATACAGAAGCCGAATCAGAAAGTATGTTTACCTTTGTCTCCTTGTGTCAGACACAAGGTCCCTTGGGAAATCACTTCTGCCTAGGGACAGAGCCTGCCAGGCGCTGAGCATCAGTGAAGGGGTCCCGGGCGCTCCTTGTGAGCAGGCCCCTCCACTGAGTTTTCAGCACAGTACAGTGACATTGCTTTTTGTCGGGCGAGGTTTATTTATTCAGTGGGATGTGAATGGAGGGAGCAGGTCCAGAGCCCCACGTGAGATTTCATGTAGCTGGTGTGCTTTAGTCTTCCATGGATAGTCTTAACTGTGATACTCTCCCATTCCCGTCACCTACCGAACCGTCCTTCATTTCAACTCCAGTGCACAGACCCATCGTAGAGTGCAGCCAGTGACAGGTCACGATGGTGAAAGAAGAATTAATGCAGAATAAATCTCCTACCTTCCTCACAGCTCTCTCAGTGTGAACATGCCTTTTTCTAGGCAGAATTCAGGAATATATCAGGTGTTAAGGGAGAGTGCCTTGCTTTTGTTTCAGACAACAGTGTTTCAAGAGTTTCTTCACTCCGCTAACTGCAGTACTTTCTTCTTTTTCCTTTTTTTTTTCTCCTTTTTGTGGTGTTAACCTGTGGGTTGAAAGAAACGCTCTTGTACATATACAATGTAAATTAAAATTATTAAATTGAATAACGTTTTTTTCAGAGGCCCCATGTGTGTTGAATAAGTATGCTTAATTCTGTTAAAATCTGATGTGAATTTTTTATCATTTATAAAACATTAAAAAATTGTGTACTTGAGTCTTAAGAGTTGAAAGATTGGTGAAGGATGCTTAAGAACACTGGCAGTTTAATGGCTAGTCCTTAGGTTAAAAGAGCTTTCATATAAATACAGTGAGACCTGCAGTGCCTGGTTACCCAGCCTCGATAAGCTCCTGTCCATGACTGTCATGGAGGCCCTGTTGTAGAGACCTCCCTCTCCTCACTGCACTTCTCCATGTCAGCAAAAAGTTGTAATTAACTTGCCCCAGTTAACAGCCCCAAGGGAGGGAGGCCACAGCATGTGTGTCTGGCTAGAAAGTGGACTGAGCTCTGATCCCATCTCCTGCCCTGGTAGAACCAGGCCCCAATGGGGACGCACAGCAATTTCTGTGGGCAGACAGCTCTCCTCCTTCGCCTGCCCTTGCTTTGCAGGAGGGATGACTTATCCCCCAGTAGACAAAACTGTTTAACTATAAATCCATTTTCTAAGCAGTTCTGAGAGGCACCTGCCCCTCGGCCAGTCTCCTGCAGGACTTGCTCAGCTGGAGGTGTCACCAAGTGATGACTGCGGCTGTAGGCTGCAGGATTGGCACATCGTTCTTTGGAAATGCGGCAAAGCAAAGGGATGTGCAAACTCTTCCAAGTGTTTTTCTTTTTTTCTTTTTTTTAATGGCTTATTTTAAAAATTAGACCACTGTTCTTAAAATATCTACTTGGTATGTCGAGGAGTTTTGCATAATAGTCCTGCTAGGTAAAACACGCGGATCTACTGACAAACCCTCAGTATTATCCTCAGTATACCCTCAGTAGCTTGCCTGTATTTCAATTTATAGTTACTGGGGGAACCATAAATTGTGTCCCTAGAAACCAGCCCCAATCTAGATCACCTGCACTCATATCCTTATGTGTGCCTCATGTGCTTGTATTCCTAAATCACCGTGTCAGTGGCTGCGTCCCCACAAAGAGACACAATGCCTTGGGAGCCTGGGCTGAGTCAGGAGCCTCACCTAGCAGAGACCGTCCTCAGACAGGAGGCCCCAACGCACCCCAAAATGAGTGACTGTAATTAGAGGCGAGCCAAATCTCTTTCTGCAGTTTTCCTACCGTTTCTTCTCACATTCAGGTTCATTTGTCCAGTATTTAGAGCTCAAATTTCAGTTACGATACAGAGAAAGGAAAGAGATTTGATTGTACATAATTAAGCATGTCTGACAAAAATTGGCAACTCCCTCCATGGATACATGAAACATTGTTTGATTAATTATTTGTATTATAGCAACACCTAGAGGCCACAGCAGAGATCAGGACCCTGCTTGGTAGCTACCCCAATTTGCACCACCCAGGGAAGTTCCATCCAAACAGAAAAAGTAGAAAGAAGAAAACTCAAGAGAAAAGGAGTGTTATACAGACCGCCAAGCCCAAGGGCAGGCAGCATTTCACTCGGAGCTGCGAGTAAAAACCTCAGCTGGCTGAGCTAGTGGCCAGCGAATGCTCTGATTCTGATTGCCTTTTCTTTCCTGTGGCAATTTTATACAAACACAACAAAAGCACTACAAAATTCAAAACAGTCTGTATATTCCAACTTGATCTTGTCTGCGCTGTGTGCGTGAGTGGTGCTCTGTCATCCATCAGACTTCAAAATCCTGCTCGATCCCAAGTTTGGAAGATGTGATGCAAGCTTGGTAGTATTTGGAAAAGAGCTACTTAGCTCTTTATTAAATGAATGGAGCAGATCATCAGGAATATTACAAGATATGGATTAAACAATAATTACTAATGAATAAAAAAGATTAACTTTTGAAAATGCCAAACTACTGATGCAGTAATTGAATCAACGTAGACTTAATTAATCAAATTCTTAACAGTTGATGATATATTTGAGAACTGTACCCCTGACCTACATTTGTGAGAATTCCAAATACAGCAATTTGTCAAATGTGAGCTAAGGAAACCCATTTACTCTATGGAAACACTTTTAGCATTATTTCTTTTGTTTTCTTTTTTAAGACACCCTTTCATTATATTCACAACATGGGATGTTTTGGCTGCATTGGGTTAGAGAAGAAATTTGAACATGGGACGTTGTGATGTGGCTGTGAAAACTAGATGAGATTCTTGACTTGAACTCAGAAAAGCAAGGGTTTCCTTAAGAAATGTGGGAATCCAGCTGTAATTTGATACTATATGTATCTCAACAAGCCCACATGTGTACAATGGATCTACTCTAATGTCAAGTATAAGATTCTGAAGTTATGAAGAGACAAGACTGTTGGAAATGCTTTTTTTTTTTTTTTTTTTTTTTTTCCTTGTTTAATATTTTTGATTGTTTATCAATTTTTCTTAAAAAAACACAGAACTCTGGGATTATTTATGTGGAATTTTATCTAAAAAAAAATAATAAATAAAAATAAAAATAAAAATAAAAAAGCTAAATGAAATTTCAAGCAAGATATGTGCGTAAGTAGTTGAAATACATTTTTAAAGAATGTGAATTGCAGAAATAGTTTGAAACCGGGGAAACTTTTGAACCTATCAGAAGGAAAACAGAAATTAATTTACCTTTCTTGGGGCTTCATTATTTATCTTGCTGTGTTTCCTAATTAATTGACGATATTGATGTTTACACAGGGATTTGCTTCTTTCCAACTTCGCTTGATCCTGTGAAGAAGCCAGAATGCTGCATTTGTAGTAGCACATTTATTCCCATGGCAACAGCCAGGGATTTCACAAACACTAATTGGGGCTGGCAACTTCAACTGTTCCCAGTACAGTCCCATATAATTTTCCCTCTTTTATCCATTTTTCATTATACCTTACCTTTTGATTGACTTCCTCAATACATTTACAGTGCTTCCTCATGTCCTCAAGACTGACTTAATGCCTTACCTGATTTACCAGTCTCTACTCTTTACATCTGTTCATTTGCACTTATCCAGATAAGAGACAACTGCAGTGCATTTGTGCTAAGCTCTAGCTCTTATACTGCAAATGCATCCAGGTTTCACTACAACCAGTTAGTTTCTGTACCTGTGTGCAAAAGCAGTAAATAGATGTACCAATGCACAGCAGCACATTCACATATAAGCATGCTGCCAGATACCTCTAAAGGTAGGTGCCAAACCTCACTTCAGGTGGAGAACAAGCTTACTGTCCACTTACACTTAAGTTCTGTGATCATTCAAGATCATTCAGTTCAAGTGGATCATGAACATTCACAGACGTTCAATTTACTATGTGGAGAATACTAGTTGTATACTGTGGTCATCCACTTGAGTTAAGGCCTTGACTTGCTCACAAGCCTAGAACAAACCTTGCGTTAGCAACGAATCTTAGAATCACAGAGCAACTTGGGTTGGAAAGGACCCCAAAGCCCACCCACCCCACCCCGTGCTGTAGGCAGGGCTGCCCCCCACCAGCTCAGCTGCCCAGGGCCCCATCCAACCTGGCCTTGAGTGACTCCAGGGATGGGGCACCACAGCTTCTCTGGGCAGCTGTGCCAGCGCCTCACCGCCCTCTGAGTAATTAATTTCTTCCTGACATCTAACCTTAATTTCTCCTATTTTAGTTTAAAACCATTTCATCTAGTCCTATCACTATCTGTTCATGTAAAAAGTCAGTCCACTTCCTGCTTATAAGCTCCCTTCCAAGTACTGGAAGGCCGTAGTGAAGACTTCCTGCAGCCTTCCCCAAGCTGAACAGTCCCAGCTCCCTAAGCCCTTCTTCATAGGTGAGGTGCTCCAGCATTTTCACCATCTTAGTGGCCCTCCTCTGGACTTGCTCCAGCAGCTGCTTATCCTTCATGTGCTGAGGGCTCCAAGCCTGAATGCAGTTCTCCAGCTGGGGACTTACAGTAGAACAGTACTACATACAGAACAGAGGGAGACATCACCTCCCACACCATGCTGGCCATTTTTTTTTATGCAGCCCAGGATACATTTGGCCTTCTGGGCTGCAAGAGCACACAGCTGGATCATGTCCACCTGGATCATGTCCAGCAATCCCAAGTCCTTCCCCACAGGGCTGCCCTCAGTGTGTTCCTCTCCCAGTCTGTATACATATCTGGGATTGTCTTGACCCAAGAGCAACGCCTTGCACTTGGCCTGAATGAACCTCATTTGGTTCACGTGGGCTCACTTTTCAAACTCGTCCGGGTCCCTCTGGATGCCATACCTTCCTGCCAACTACACCACTTAGCTTGGTGTCACCTGCAAAGCTGCTGAAGTTATTCTCAATCCCACTATGTTATTGATAAAGATGTTGGAGAGCACCAGTCCCAAGACTAACTCCCAGGGGACATCACTTATCATCACTTTCCTCTTCTAAATAGAGATACTGACAACAACCCTTTGGCTGTGACCATCCAACGGGTGGTCCACAGGCTTTCTGGGTAACCTATACCCGGTCCTATGCTCAGTCAATGGAACATCACTGAGCAAACTCAAGATTCCCATTCAGAGGCTGACTTGAGAATAAGTCCCAGACAGTTTTCGAACCATTCTCTCAGCAAAAATAAATTAAAACCAAGTAGAGAAAGTATGCCACTATTGCCCTAATTTGAATAGAAAGACAATAAATAAGACCAGTTAGAGTGAATTTACACTCCAGGCCACTGAAAATGACTAAAAATTGAGGAGTAAAATGATAGAACCATGTGGAGCCTTGTCATTAGGTTACAGGTGAAGTCAAATTTGTTTCTTACTTCGAAATAATTTAATATATTATTAGTAGAAAACTAGTATTAAAATACTAAATTCTCAGTGTGACCACCACCTTCTTGCCCTATATGATATGAAGTAAAAAGCTTCTTAACTATCAAAAATCTGTCTTGGCAGTAAACCGAATGTTTTTAGGAGTCTTTAATTGAAAGCAGGGCAAAAATACTATATTTGATAAAGATAACTTATTGTAATAAAGAGTATAATTTTTTTAAATGATTGAAAAGAAAAAGGGGGGGGGGGGCAAAAGGGGGGACATTTTACATTCAAGTGAAAAGGAAACTGCTGCAAGAAATGTCATATTCCAATAAATGGCAGTATGAACTTACAGGAACACATAAAGAAGGCCTTTACTGAAAAAGGCTTTTGACTCTCAAGGCTACAATTTGCCTCTTTCTCTTTGAGGCACTGAACTGTGCCAGCTTGCACAATTTTTGAAAACACATGCTGCTGCCATTGACTGAAAGGCTCTGTTTTAAAAACATAACAAACATTTGGGAAGAGCCCTTCAGCTTTTGCGATTGTTTTCATGGTTTCATTTTGTTCCCTATCCCCTCTAATTTCAAAAAGCATCATCAAACTCATAACAGGGTTTTCATAACTTTTGTGAACTGGGCCACAGTCAAGAATTTCCACCTTGAGTAATATTATTGCATGAAGTTTCCCACCTATCATACAGTGCTCTGCAGTGCTCAGCACATACATCTGCTTTTCATCTCTTTTCTGAAAGTTCTGTGGATAGCTGTGCCTTTGAAATTAAGGAGCTGAGGAACAAATCAGGGTTGAAGGTTTTTCAGAGCTATGGATGTTGTGTTTTAAACTGATCTGTTGAGAGGAGCGCAAGGGAAAGCATTTCCAGCAGCAAGGCAAGCTGGTGCAGTATAACCTTTTGGAAAGAGAGCCAGGATTCACTACACACAGAATCACATCCCCTGTAGATGGAAGTGAAAGCTTCCCAGACAGGTTTAAGCGAAAGGCTTTTTAAAGCAAGTTATTGAGAATGGCTGAGACTGAGATATTAAAAAAGCAGGTGTCAAGAACTAAGATGAAACCTTAAAATTCTTGCAAAACCTGAGATTTTGAAAAGAAAGCTCCTTTTACGCCATGCCTCCAAAGCAGCACTTATTCCCATGAGAACGTGACACAACAAGAATCACACTGCTGGCATCTAATGGACAAAAACAATTGTGGAAATCCAATAAAAATAGTGGGAAATGCTATTTGGTGAAAACATTGTCCAGCTTTCTGTAGTGCATGATTACAGCTCAAGCAAAACATGATGCCTGCAGTGTATTCTCTTCCTATGAAGAAAGGCTGAGGGAATTTGGCTTGGAGAAGAGAAGGCTCCAGAGAGACCTCACTGCGGCCTTCCAGTACTTGAAGGGAATTTTAAACAAGAAGGAGACTGACTTTTTACATGGACAGATAGTGATAGGACAAGGTGAAATGGTATTAAACTAAAATAGGAGAAATTAAGGTTAGATGTCAGGAAGAAATTAATTACTCAGAGGGCAGTGAGGCATTGGCACAGGTGCCCAGAGAAGCTGTGGTGCCCCATCCTGGAGGCGCTCAAGGCCAGGTTGGATGGGGCCCTGGGCAGCTGAGCTGGTGGGGGGCAGCCCTGCCCACAGCACGGGGTGGGGTGGGTGGGCTTTGGGGGCCCATCCAACCCAAACCATTCTGTGGATTTATGACTCCATGGCTTGATTCTATGATTCTGTGATTCCATGCCATTCAGGCTGCAGCTTCACAAGCGTTCCTAGCCAGCATAGGGCAAATTCTGCCAGGAGTCATCCTGGGTATCTACTGCTTCTCACTGCAATGTGTCCCTGCCTCAGGCCAGTGGTGACTTTGGGGATGGGAGGTGAAACAAAGCAAGAACCTGGTTTGGTTTAAAACTCACATATTCTTCCCGCCCTCTTTTTACTGGTCAGCAGCAGTTTCCATGCAGTTTTCCCATTTGTTGTCAGGATAATTTTTAGAATTGCTATGTACGCCTAAATGTCAAATGGGAGGAAAAGATCAGCAGGTATCCCTATGACCATTGCTGCCATGCAACATTTGCATGGGAGTAGCCTGAAGATTTCCCTGTGTAAACAAGGGGTCTGTTGCTCCAAGTCCTCTTTACACACATAACTAGAGACACTCCCTGTTCCAAAGGCATTTAGAACTGATAAAGCAACACAAAGGAAAACAGTGTCATAATTGCTGTATGAAGAGAATATCTATGTACAGAGGTATTCAGTGATTTTCTGTCACATGGGAACTTTGGAAGAGCCGTGAAGTGAGTCTGGATCCCACCATTCTAGCCTACTCCTTAAAAATAAATATCCTTCCTCTCTTATGTCATGAGTCAGCACACTTTTCCAAAATGGTGCACTCAGCCTAACTGTTGTCAAATTGCTTGGGGAGACTCTAACCTGACATATTTAGCACATCCTTCCCACAGCTCTCACAGAAGCACAAGGATGTCAGCTCTGATCAGACTCAACCAGGGCTGCAAAACCTATCATGTTTGTAGATCTAAGATGGTCTAGAAAGTAATTCTTCCAAAAGCTACTGCAATTCTGTGCATGAAGACAGACACAAGAAGCTGCAGTGGGCAACATTTCCATCAGGCTGCCCTTTAATAACAGCCTAGAAATTAGTATTACATTAACCTAGGCAATGTTTTTAGACTTAGAAATGTCTAAACCACAAGAACTCTTTGGAGGTGGGCTACTGCTTCGGATCTCAGATTGCAGCCCCATCTGCTGTGAAGAGCTGTCAATCTAATCTATCCAAGTCTGCAGCTTTCTGTCCAGTATGGCATAATGTATAAAGCAAAGGATGCCACAGTAACTGTATTGTGTTTGCAGTCTGAACAGGTGCTTAAAAAAAAAAAAGATCATAGAAGAGTTTTGTTATCTATACTTCTATACTTACTATTTGAAGAATGATTCA